TGGTGTGGTCCAGTCCCGTGTTGCTGTCTTTTTTTCATCATTTACATGAATTTTATGTGTATGAATTATAAAGCCTAAAACATAAGCTTATCACTACAAAACACACACTTGTCCATGTTAGCGTATAAGTGTTCTTGGTGGAGAACTTCAAGAGCTGGAACGTGAATGATATGAGAATTAAGAGAAGAAGAGTATATAAGAATATCATCAAGATATATAATAACATATGTAGATGCTCGTTTTTTCCGGGCTTATAGCAGATTAGACAATTTGAATCGAGCCCAACATGATTTCTAACCCAACCCGTGCTCAATTGGACTAGGCCAACAAGACAGGAAGTTTTGAGCTGGAAAAAAGAGGGAACAGTTGTAGAGAGTCAGGGGTTTTAATTTTCAATTAACCATAAGAGAGAGGGGGACAGGCAGAAAGAAAAAAAAAGAAAAAAAGGGAGAGATATCATCAACCCATGACCATTACGAGAAGAAGAGAGATCATTTTTATTTGTTTTTAAACACTAGAGAGCAAGAACTAGAAAACGGAGTGTGTAAAATACTTTTTTTGTGAAAAAATCAAGAGGATCAAATGGTTGTAAAAAACAGTGTTCGAAGATAAAAGTAAAGAGCCCCACTTTTCATTGAATCAAAGCAATACATAGAATTGAAAAGGGTATTTTATTTTTTTAGTTTCCATTTTCAATTGCTTTCATAATCTTCTTGTGTGTTCATATGTTTTGAACCGAAATCAAGTCAAAAGCATAAAGAAGACAGCTTAAATGTTTACTTTAGTGGTAGTTCGTCCCACTTTGCTTCCTAGTCATTCGAGTTTACACCGTTGAAGTAAAGGGGTTGTGTTAGTTGGGTAAAATAAATCAAGTCAAATGAGAGGGTTTTGATAGCTTACCTTATAGTGCGTCGGGGTTTGGAGATGAAATCATCGCCATAATTAAAATTGTGGTTGGAGTGTTTGGGTTTAGAGTTTCATGGCAATGTGTGTGAAAGAGTGGAGAAGAAAGTGTGAGGTTGATGGGTATGTACACGTGAATTGGGTTTAGTTTAGGTTATGTAAAGTTAGGTTTTATAAAATATCATTTGGGTTAATTAATTTTTAGCCATTGAATTTGATAGGTAAAATTAGGTTTCCAGTCCCCCATATTTAAGCGTGTTTTACACCTTAGTCACCTTTAGGACTGTTTTTGAATTTAATCTTTTATGTTTGTCCTGATTTAGTTATTTTCCCAGTTTTAATTTTAGTTGTAATTTTGTTGGGTTATTTAGGTGTAGATCCCTTGTTTATACGTGTTGTTTTATTTAAGTCCCTGATTTAATTTTTGATTTGCATGTTTAATTTTATGTGTATTTAAATTTAGTTATTAATTTAACATGTATATATGTACTTTTTTTAAAATTTATAGTTTAGCATGTCATGTTTTAAATTTTTATATTTAAGTCACATTTGTACATTATAGGTTAATATGCATGGTTTATAATTTTTAATTAAAATATGTGTATATAATTTTTGTATTAGAATGTCACATTGTATGATATTTTTAATCATAATACTTGTTTAATTAATTTTTGGCATGACATCTTTTTTACACAATTTGTAAGATATCCTCATGTGCATAACTTGACTTATAAATACATAATCGGACTAAGGGTAATACCCTTTTAATTTAAATTTGTCTTGAGTGGCTTGTCTTAACTCATTAAAGGACTATTTTAACGATTTTTAAATTAGAAGCGTATCCCGGAAGTGAAACCTAAAAAATTGATTCGTCACTTAAAATTTGGGAATGAAAGAAAATGAAATGTTCAGTTATTTAAATATTTCGAGAAAAGATTGTTACAACTCATCTAAGATCTGGTCTCGATATTTTTAAATAATCGAACATTCTTTATCTTTCTAAAACGACTTGGTAATTTGAATTTAATTTATTTGGGTGCTTTTGAATATTTTTAAATTCACATCTTTATTTTATGGGATCAAAAATCAAATTAAGTTTGAATTTGTAGAGTTCATTGCAAAGACGTTAATTAATCGACTAGGTACCGATTTAGGGCGCTGTGGGGGTGCTAATCATTCCCCACACGTAACCGACTCCCGAACTCATTTTCTGGTAACGTAGATTTCAATTTGTTGTTTTAATTAAAATCAATTTTTATTTAAAATGACAAAACAATTTTGGGTGCCCAATCACACCCTAATCAAAGATTGGTGGCGACTCCTCGAATCGTATTTTTTCTATTTTACAGGAAATCCCAATTTTTTTTGAAATGAGAGGTTTTTTTAAATCGCATTTTTTCAAATTAAAAATCAATTGAAATAGATAAATTAAAATTTGATGTGGTTATTTAAAATCTCACTTTCACCTTTTTAAGAAAAAATCGTTTTGAAAACACTAGTAGAAAAAAACCCCTTTAATGATGCGCATTGCGCGTCATCTATGGGTGCGGATGACACACATTTTCCTGTCGTTGAAGCCACCGATATGAATTTAAGATGACGCGCAATTGTGCGTCATAAATTTATGACGCGCATTTATGACACGCATTTATGACACGCATTTATGACGTGCATTTATGACGCACATTTATGACTTACATTGCGCTTCATTAAAGCCCCCGTCATAAATGAAAATGACACACATTTGTGTGTCATAAATTTATGGCACGCATTTATGATTTACATTGCATGTCATTGAAGCCTCCGTCATAAATGAAAATGACACACATTCGTGTGTCATGATTGTATTTCGTGAATTATATATATATATTTATATATATTGTAGATTGACAAATAATCAAACTAAATCACATTTAATGCCTCGTAATACTAAATATATATATCATATTATATATAAGCAATACATTTGTATACAATATATTCACACTACAAATAGTTTACAATAAACGATTAGTCAAAGAAAACAAAGAAAATACGACATTGAAAAAGAACATATAACCATTATATATATACAATAATGCACTTTGTTTCCACATACTTAGAGCTTTGAGCATCTGGATAAAAGCCACATATATATGCAAATAGGCAGTGTTGTTAAACCTGTATTGACAAAAAAAAAATGAGGATGCTTAGAATATGTAAAACCAATATCAACAAATGGTAAGAAAAGTAAAACAAAGATGTCAAAATTTTGCACAGCCAGTACATAATAAGCTCCATATCATATAAGCAATTTACAGAACACATCACCATATGAAATGTTAAAATCGGTCCTATATCAAACATCTACAATCCCAACTTACCATGAAGATGGCGTGGCAATATTAGTGCAAACAAAGCACAAAAAAGAAATGTCACACTGATATGTAGAGAAAACTGAAAAGCTACCTCATATCAAATTCAACAACATAATGTTTTTAACTACTACTCTTACATGGAATCATCAAGAATATTCAGGGGAAAGGAGAGGAGGGCTGCTGAGGTCTCTAATGCAAATTTCTAACCTACAATTATAGTTCAGACTATAGCATACCAACAGAAAAAAAACTAAAGAAAGCGCGGGGGGTTGTGATATACGTAGTACATATGAGCAAGCAGTGCAATCAGCAAAAATGTAATTGCTGCACAAAACATTTACTAAAGTACAACAGAAACTAAGGTTATATGTCTCAGTTATGCCCAGGTCGGTGCCTAATGTTTTTCCCACTTCTTGTGCTGGAAACAAAGGGACCACACAATATCCTTGAGAATCAAATATCAACACAACTGATGAACTAAATGAATTAGACTAGGGGGAAAGCACCAACAATGAAAGGTAAAACCAGTCATACCCGAACTACAAACTCTGACTTGTGCAATTTGGGAGGACAAAAGTTTGATCAACCAAAGACTAGTTCAACCTTCAACTTTGTTTTAGATGCTGTCTGCAAAAGTTTAGAAGTCATTAGTGCACCTAAATTTAGCTACCATCTTTAACAATAGTTGTCTATAGGGTTTAAAAGCATCAAGGTTGAGAGGGAAGAAAAAAATATCAACAAATGCCAATGGAAATAAGCAAGCAATAAAAAGAGACTGCCATTCGTTTCATTTTCCATGCTCTCCTAAAAATGAGAGAGATGAGCATATAGACTGAGACATGCAAATACAAAAAGCTCTGAACCAAATTTCAGAACAGTTGTTTTGATTAAAAATAACTTTGACCCCATAATTGTAAGAGTGGCAATAGACTTATTTTTTGAAAAAACATATATGCCTTTTTTCTGAGTAACTCCAACTACTTCAAGTTATTTTTGCAAGTTGAAAGACTGAGTGGGGTGACTAGAACATCGAATTACATCATTTGAAAGGAAAGGGCCACAACACATTACAGGCTAAAGCAAATGCATGATCTCAGATCTAGAACTTTCCAAAAATCATACAAGAGTATACAATGTACCATCATTTAATATTTTTTTGGGCACAACAGTTGGAATCAAGTTAGGGCATGTTACAAAGTAAAAGATTATATTATATATTGCACTATAACACACAACCCAAGCTTCAAAACACCCTTGAAAGGAATCAACTAGATTGAATCCCACTGAAGGATGCCGAAAGCTCTGGAAAAATTTATTCCGTACAACACTTAGGCAAAGTCTGGTACAAGGATGGGAATGAGTGATGATGAAAAATTTGTTAATCTAATGGTTAAGCTATGTAGAGTAAGAAAGTGGATATGAATCTTAACCATTTGATAACACCACTATAAACAAGTGCAGAACAACTAAAATACTTGCTTCATATATATTACAATAGTTGGCAGAATCAAAGAAAATGGTAAGTACAAACAAGAAGCATCCATCAACTAATACAAAACAAATTTTGGCAACCTGCAACAATCCTAAAGATATTTCAGACATTATTTGGAAACAACAGAAAATAAGTAGTACAGGAAAAAAAAGGCTAAGCAATACACTCGTATATTTATCTTTTTTTCACAATTAAAATATTATATTCCTCAGCATGCAGAAACTCTATAAAATTGCTAAATACCAAAAGTTATTTTACCCTATCTATCTCGTATGCAGTGGATCTGTTGTGTTTGAAACTGTGAACATTGAAAGTACAAAGGCCACCAACATCAGTTTCAAAAACCTTAAAAAGGCTTAATTCAATAAAGAAATTGAATCAAAAGAACAAGAAGATCGTACTGCCACTATGATAATGGGGGATGTCCCCATCATTTTGGTCTCTCTAACTTCTACGTCAGATATATGTAGAATCTGTAGCAAAAGTAGGTGAAATTAGTAACACCATTCCATATCAAGAATATAACTCAACATGACATTTACAACCCAATAATCTCAACTGCAATCCGTAAGATGACGTATTTAAGGCCATGATCATCTATAACCAAACTTGGTTATTAAAGGTATATGCTTTCTTACCGATTTTTGTTATAATAAACAGCAGAAAACTTGATACATCTTATCATGTACCATATGATAGGGCTTACAACGTTACATTACATAGAATAGTCAGTCTTACCTTGTTATCGAAAAATATACCATGGCTCTGATAAGCAGTATGTTCAGCTTTGCACCTATCAATAACTTCAGGACTACAATACTTCTTCAAAGTTTCAACATCTCCCTGTGCGTATAAATTTATATATATTATAGAGGCAGCCAGTACCCGAGACACTTTTTATTTGAAAATATAGAACACTAGAATATAAGCCAAAGAAACCCCTTACTTTTATATATGCATTAAGAACCGGTCTAATTGCTTCTTGAACTTCTGCCACAAATTCTGACAAAGAGAATGACCTACTCCATGCACCAAAGAATAGCATAGATCAAGAAATGGAACATTTAAGTGACAAAGAAAAAATAAAGGAGAGGTGATGGTGACCATACGGATCTCGTCGGCGTATTTCTTTGTACGATGCTGCAACATCTGTTTCTTGAAAGATACTCTTGTTTATACTGTCAAAAGTTCTAAATACCAAAAAAAGCAGAGGGGGAAATAATAATGGACATCAAAAAAATGGTAAAAATGGAAATTTTAGATGAATAGTGAGAATTAAATTTCCATGAATATTGAAACAAAAGTTCTGGCCATTACCATTAAAATGAAAAATAAAACTTATTAACCCAATTCCAAACACATGCACACAAAAATCAAAATTCAATTTTCTAGTAATCAAAGGAAATGAGAAAAAAAAAGAAATCCCCAAAAAGAAAGTAGAGAAATACGTGTAAAAGAAAAGAACAAACCTTGAACAGAAAAGAAAGATCAGACCCCCATTTTTTCAAAACCTTGTGACCAAGCATATTCGAATTCTTCAAAATCCAATCTTTTAAACCCAAATTCCTACCTTCTCCATTGCCATCAGCCATAAAACTTGGCCCTGAGTCATGGGTTCCCATCCAAAACTCAGCATATGGCCTTTCAGGCTTAATCTCAGACCCAGAATTCAAAGCCAAAAGCCTCGCCACCTGTGCCTCCGTCCCACATCTTCCCCAATCGTAGTTTTGAACCCAAGCTCTTAGCCGCTTCACCTTCTCGACATTAGCCTTTGCCATTGCTAAACAGAACCCCCCAGAAACGAAACGAAACAAGGGAAACTAATTTTGAAGAAAAATGAGAAGAGAAGAGAAGAGAAAGGGCTACGAGAGAATGATAATACGGAAGGGAGGGTCATTTTTTGCTGGTAGTTGAAGAGTTTGAAAGGGTACAGGAGAGAGGGAAACATATTGGAAAAAGAGACCGAAAAGAAGTGAAGATGAAAATTATGGGGGGAAAATTAAAAGAAGACATTTAGAGATGACACACAATGAAAAGTGTACTCCGTGTTTTGCTAAATTTTTTGGATTATGACTATTAAATATGACACACATTATTGTAAGTCATAAATTGTTAAGATTTTAAGAAACATGACATTTTTTTATGACACACATGTTTTGCAAGTCATAAATTAGCGCGTGTCATCGTTCGTGTGTCATTAAAGGTATATTTTCTTGTAGTGCAACATACTTACCTATGGACTTGTTCAAATCATGTTTCGTCATTAATATGGCGTCACGGCTAAGGCTTTCCTGGATGTAGCCTTTTTGTAACAAATCTAACTCTTTGGTTTCTTCGAGATTGTATGTTTGATGAGGTATGATGGACCTTGAATTAGATTGGTTTGCTGTTGTTTTCCTCTTTTTGGTGGTAATCCATCAGGTGGATCACCTAACACTTCTCGAGAATCCTATAAAAAAGATGAAAACACACTAGGCAAATCGTTGTTAAAGTTAGAAAATTGAGACAATTATTTCCCTAAAGAGAACAAGAATGCAAGGTTATTTGTAAAGAAGGTTCTATCTCAATTATTTTGTGCTCACACATAGATTTTGAGTCACTCTTTTATTCTCACAATTAGGTTCACTTACCTCCCATGGGTCATTATTCTTTTAGCTTTTGTAACTAGTGACCTCTTTTGCTTTTGCCTTTTTCTCATCTTTTTTTTTTGCTTTACCTACCCCCACACAAATTCTCATTTGATCTTTTAGGATTTCTTTTGGTGGAATTGGCCTGAGAGTGTAAGTCTTACCTTCTAGGTTTAAAGTGTATTAGTTTGGCTTACCATAGTAGGTAACATCATTGTTGTATTGCCATGGTCTTCCCAGAAGGATGTGAGAAGCTTGCATTGGAATCACATCACATCAAATTTTGTCACAATACTTGCCCATCTATAGCTTGACTAGGCATTATTTGGTGACTTTCATCTCGAACTCTTTATTAATCCATTACGGACAATATGGTTTTGGATGTTGTTGACAAGGTAGGTTGAGTGCATCTACCAAGTAGCTAGTCACCATGTTTGCACAACTTCCATTATCAATGATTATGGAGTAAGGTTTACCTTGTATCAAACATCGGGAATGGAATAAGTTTGTTCTTTGAATATCATCTTCTTCCATATCTTCAGTGCTTAAAGACCAACGTATAACCATACAATTAGGTCTGAAAAATTGTCATGGTTCAAACATCTTGAAAATCACAACACTCAACGAAACATTTAAAGTAAAATAAAAATAAAAGAAAGAAAATTCAACAAAGCAAGAAACCTCACAAGCCACTCCAAGAAAGTAACACAATGAGAGGTAAATAATTCCATATTTTACTCTTTAAAACTCACTTTACCTAGTATTCTTCCATAGTCATATAGGAGTTTGACTACTAGCATAGGCGATAAGAAAACCTAAAAGCTCTAAGAGGCCAAACAAGGGTTAGACTCCAAGAGAACGAGAATGCAAAGAAGGAAGAATTATGAAAACTCTTTAGTCCTACTAACACAAGGAAGATAATGTGTTAGATAATGTAAAAGAACAATAAAAGGGAAAACAAAAGAACCTAAAGCACTAAGAGTAAAAAAAAATCAAACCAGAAACCTAGAAAACGATGGGTCAACTTGAGCAACTTTTTAGGGGGTTAACGGTGTCCACAAATTCTGGAAAAATTCTTAAATGTCGTTCAATGTGTGTAGAAATCACCTGTAAATTCTCAGAATCAAATATCTTCAATAGTATCCAGTAGACTCTGTTGAAAAGTGAGTCCTCAAAAAGTCTGTTTTTCTTAATCGCTTTGTTCGAAGGTGTTATTGATCTCAAAAATTCGATTCTTTTTTTGAATGATCTTTAATATATATGGTTTCAATCTGGAAATATTCATCACGAAATTCCTTCTTTAGAATTTTCAAGAAATTCGACAAGATTCTAGACTGAATCTGCCAATGAAAATTGAACGATGTGTTTGAAGGATCTAATGAACTCCGATTGATGTAAATTTTGGATTGGAGATTACTCTTAGGATGAATATGAGATATAGAGAAATCAACCCTAAACATTTTCGTTTGCAATTTTTGGCTTTTTTTTTTTAAAATTTTTCGGTCTTTTTTTAATGAAAAAAAAGAAGACTAACGAGAAGGATTTGAATCTAAATTAAAATTAAACAAAAAGAACCTGAAACGATAAATCTTTTACAAACTAGCTCCGTTGGGGGTACCTTGGCGGTTTTCTGTGCAAGAACAAGCAAGATTGCTTGATTCTTTCAAAGAATCAACCAAAATTTGATACCTATTGATAGAGAAGTGGTGGCAGATTAATGAACATTGCTCTTGTTGAGGAATCAAACCTAGAAAGCTCTAGACTCGATGAAGAACAAAGGGGGATGAATAGGGGAAGGTGGCAGCAACAACTAGGGTCTTTCAGAGTTTCTTTTTAAGTACTGGAAACAAGGTAAGAAGCAAGATTAGAACAAGGTAAAAAAAGATAAAGAAATTGAGAATAAAATATGATAACCAAGAAATCAAAAGATCTCCCCTATGAAGGTGAACAGTAAAAATGATGATGGTGAGTATGATAGTCAAGAAATCAAAAGATCTCCCTTATCGAACCCTCCTAGTCGCAATGAAAAGGCAAGCTCAATAATATGGCTCTAACCAACTCTCCTAGTCGTGATGAAAAGGCAAATTGGACTGTGAAGATTAATCTCCCTTACAAGGACTTGAAAGAACTATAGAAGAAGAAGCTTCGAAGGTACAAAACAATCAACACTTGCAAAAATGAACTCTCGTTGTATTATTAATCAAAGAAATCTATTTCACAAAGTTAAATGAAGTCTCCTTTATATAGGGGATTAGTTCTAAAGGTCCTAAATAACTAATGAATAAAATAATAACAAATTAAACATGTCTTAACTCTAATTACTAATAAAATAATAATAAATTAAGAATAATGTTTTAACCCAACTTTAATTCCTAATAAAATAATAAATCTAATCCTAAAATATAATGCATCATACTATATTAAATTATATTACAAATAATCAATAAAAATATTAAAAATTCGTAATATTTACAAAATCTCGTATTAATCCCATTCAAAATGTCCTCTCAAGTCTGCGGCTGTTCTGGTCTTCTTTTCCAAGGGTTGGATGAGTGGGTCATTTGTAAGAGTTATTACTTTTTCCTTTAATGTGAGCCTTGTGATGCATGTATCAGTCAGATTCATCATATTCAGCTTTAGCAATCCACATCTACGATTACACGGAAAAGTAAATCCCGTGTTAGAGAATTGCTCATAAAGTGCTTCGATACGATTTTGAAAAGGTATATGAATGACATGAACTTACCTGTTGGAAAGTGCTGAAGGATGCTAATATGGAATCACCAATCCACACACACTACTTCCTCTCAGTTGGTGCAACCACTTTAATCTTCATGCTGCTAGGAGCGAGTGCTGTGATCTCTTTGCTCATTTTATCGCTAATCCCAGTGAACATGGTGGTGCCACCACTATGCACGATGTTGTCATATAATTCCTTTCTGATATCGACATCATTATGGAGTTGTAAGTTGTTTCATGGATTCCAGCAGTTTCCATACCGATCATGGATGACTGGAAAAGGACTTTCGGACATCGGAATTGCTTGGAACCGATGGTGATCACCTAACCATCAGGCAACTCATAACTTTTCTCAACAGAACTGGTCTTGGCGGTTTCTAGCTCTTTCTCATAGACAAGGGAAATGTAACCTAACTTTTCTTTCAAGTCCCTCACGATTTCCCGTTCGGCTGTAGTGGTGAATGAGTAACCTCGCTCGGTTAAAATCTTCATCAGGGCATCAGTGAGGTCACGGCCGGCAAGATTGAGACGCAAAATGGTATGTGGAAGAGCATATCCCTCGTAAATAGGGACCGTGTGGTTAACACCATCTCCAGAATCAAGCACAATACCTGCACCAAACAAAAATATATCTCACACATAACTCTGCATTACCCTATTAAGTACAGCCAGCCAAGCATAACTATATAATTACATTGCAATATGATGTATGAAAAAGTCTTCTCACTACAGCAAAACTGTACATTTGCGGCGTTTTTTTATACCTATAGCGGCGTTTTTAAGCGCCGCAACAAACACATGCGACGCTATGACAAACGCCGCAAAAAGTGCCGCTGCAAATAGCGTCGCTAAAGTTCGCGGCGTTTGGTAACAAAAAATGCCGCAATAGGTAACGATATATAGCGGTGTTTGTCCAACAAACGTCGCAATAGGTGTTGATATTTGGTGGCTTTTTCCAACAAACGCCGCAATAGGTGTTGAGATTTAGCGGCGTTTTCCCAACAAACGCCGCAATAGGTGTTGAGATTTAGCGGCGTTTTTTCCACAAACGCCGCAATAGGTGTTGATATTTAGCGGCGTTTTGTCCACAAACGCCGTAATAGGTCTTGATATTTAGCGGCGTTTTTCCCACAAACACCGCAAAAAATCTGGTATATAGCGGCGTTTTAAGATACAAACGCCGCTAATTACCTCTCTATAGCTAAAAGAAATTGATTTTGCAAATTAAAACTAATTTGTCAAATGTTGTTTTCTACTCTTTTATTACCCAAATTTAACCTGTAGCATTTTCCAATAAACTTGACATCCATAACAACAAACTTAAAATCCATAACAAGAAAAATGAAATCCATAATAATAAATCAAAGTTTACATTAACGTAAAATATAATGTAGTTCAACATTATTAACTATAATAAACAATAATATCTAAGATATTTTGTTTCTAATCTTACACATTCTTCAAAACTCTTCGTCACAATGAGGCGCTTAAATTCAAAGAGATAAATCCAGTTTATATGGGAAAACAATGATGCAGAGCTAGTATCGTCCTGTCATTTCTTGCAGAGATATTTTGCTTCATGAGGTCTTACTCCAATTGGCATGCCACTTGAAAAGGCCCCATCCATGGCAATGCAAACCCGATCTCTAGTTTCATATCCAAATAAATCATCAGTTTATATGAAAATCCATTATATCTTACGTTAAAAAAGTTAACAACACATTTCTGCATGGTCAGTCCCAGCAGTCAACAACTCTATGGCATGGGCAACCTTCATGATGATAAGCAAAATATAGAGATAGATCTTAATAATTGTCCAGAAACATCCAAGCTTGAATTTCATGATAACTTCTAACAGATTATCGGACCAAACATATTTTAAATCAATAGTACCCAGAAAAAAGCTCTAAAACTCCAGAAAAAGGAAAGGTTAGAAAGAAAGCAAACGTGTGTGATCAAGGTTCTCATGATGGGTTATTCCCAAGTATAGGTCTTCCCTTCAAACTCACGAAATTTCATACTTCATTATTATACTATTCGACCGCATCTTTGCACTCATCAAAGTTTCGATTAAATGAACCTAAATATTGAATTCAATTTCTTGCTTGCAAAGATATACATTATAATATCTATGTTAGTAAATTTAATAGGGTTTGAACTATATACACATATGATTTAATTAATAATAACGCTCTCTTTTAGTCTTTTTTATGTTAAAAAGTAACGAATGAAAGAGCTATAATGAAGAAGACAGTTTAATCGAGAAATCACCAAAATAACCCTAAGAGCAGAAGAAAAACACGATTCTTTCGACTGAACAATGCAGATTCGATAGAAATTTTAAACATACACAAATATCTCATTGAATGAAAACAAAAATATGTTCCCTTTTTCTTCTGCTAGATGATCCTGTGATTGGCATCCTTGACATAGCATGTCTTAAAAGAATTATAAGGAATTACAAAGTTCAGTTAGAATTAACAAACAAAGATCTATCAGCTAAGAGTATTCAGATGACTAACCAATTATAAGACTATAAATCTTTGGCAACTTCAGCAATTGCACTGCTAATACAATTGGAGATGCGAAAATTGACACAAGCAATGCCCCTGAGAGAAAAAAAAATAAGCATCATACAACGATGTCCAAGTTTATTAGAACGGCTGATTCAAAGTAGTTTTAAACGCAAATTTTCTTAAACTCACTCATTCTTACAAGCAACAAAGCTTACCGATTGAATCATCTCGTTGTATAGTCCTTCAGTCATTCCCAATTCTCCTGATTTCACAAAGCCTGAGATCACAGCACATTATGGAATGCAATCACTCACAAGTCCGGCTTCCTGCATCTTCTTCAGGTAGCATTTCGCTACGTGTGGTAAATATGCGCTAGCTAAAATCTGTATAAGAGAACTATAACCGCATTTATCCGGAACTACACCGTGACACTGCATGCTATCAAATAGCCAACATGCTTTATCGTAGCTCTTCGCTATCCCGTCAGCTTTGATCATTACATTAAACTCAAGGACAGTAAGACTTTTCCTTTCTTGGCAACAGAGAAAAATATTTTCAGCTTCGGAAACATGTTCCCTCTCCCCAAAGGCATCAATGTTGACAGAGTAGCCCTCTGAACTCATATTCCCTGCAAGGTGGAACCTCCTGAACCATAACCACGATTTCTCCAGCATCCCAGCTTCTATGTACATTCTGGTCAGAGCAGATTGTGTATATTGATCGATTTCAAGATGTCTTTCATCCATATCGTGTATGAGGTCTTCCGCTTCACTAACCATTTGCCTTATCGAGTGTGCATACAAGAGGGTGCGGTAACTCACAGGATCCGGTTCAAGGCAGGCCTCCTTCATCTTTGCAAAGTAGTCTGCTGCCATCTTTATATCATCGTACTTAGTATGAAGGGATATGAGAATATTATAAGTCCTCGTGTCGGGAAGGCATTTTAACTCCTCCATCTTCTTCATCAGTGAAGCTACTTCATTCAACCGTCCATGGTTAATGCAAATGTGAATCATGGTATTAAAAGTAACAGTAGTCGGAACAATCCCTTCTCAAAGCATGAGTTCAAATGTGTCTGAAGCCTCTCGAACCTGCCCTGCCTTACCATATGTATCTATTAAAGTATTATAGGTATATGAGCTCAAATGCGAATCACTTCCCACAGCACCAGATGTTTCACTTCCATCATGCCTCAAAGATCCATTCAATGACCATTTCTTGAAAAATTCCTCGGCTTTTCGAAACTCGCCAGCTTTCTTATACAACTGCACGATGATCCCTATAGTTACCTCATCGGGCTCCACCCCTTGCTTGTTCAGCTTGCCAAGCCAACAAAGAGCTTGTTGCTTCATCCCACCTTTACCATAAACATCAATCAGAGTACCATAAGTAGAATTAATCGGCTCAATCCCTCTAAAGCTCATCTCATTCCATAGCCTCTCAACATATCCCCATTTATGAGCTTTACCGAGAATTCTAAACATAATGTTATAATGAATTACATTTAACTCATAACATTGTTTCCTCTTGAACCACTCAAAAATCTCTAAAGCCCTTTCCCAACTTGATTGCTCCTTCAAAATTATACTCCTTTCTTTATTACTTAACTTGTCAGCCCATGGCTTTAATGCCTTGTCCAAATCCTTAACACTATCCAAAGCTCCCAAAATCGCTGGAATACAACCTCCGTAAGAAGCCCATTTCATCGAACAGATGGCGTGCATTTTATCCACCGGAAGTTTCCCATTAACAACATCAAATTTAACTCTTTTATCCACAAATTTGAAACTTCCCCTCGTTGTATCTCTCCTTTCTCCACAAATTTAGCTCTCTTTTAGTCTTTTTTATGTTAAAAAGTAACGAATGAAAGAGCTATAATGAAGAACACAATTTAATCGAGAAATCACCAAAACAACCCTAAGAACAGAAAAAAACACGATTCTTTCGACTGAACAATGCAGATTCGATAGAAATTTTAAACATACACATATATCTCATTGAATGAAAACAAAAATATGTTCCCTTTTTCTTCTGCTAGCTGATCCTGTGATTGGCATCCTTGACATAGCATGTCTTAAAAGAATTATAAGGAATTACAAAGTTCAGTTAGAATTAACAAACAAAGATCTATCAGCTAAGAGTATTCAGATGACTAACCAATTATAAGACTATAAATCTTTGGCAACTTCAGCAGTTGCACTGCTAATACAATTGGAGATGCAAAAATTGACACAAGCAATGCCCCTGAGAGAAAAAAAAATAAGCATCATACAATGATGTCCAAGTTTATCAGAGCGGCTGATTCAAAGTAGTTTTAAACGCAAATTTTCTTAAACTCACTCATTCTTACCAACAACAAAGCTTACCGATAAAAGTGCGAGGAACAACACCTGGAAACTCCAAATGATCATACTGATATCAGAATCAAAACAAACATAAAACGAACACAAAATTAAGAGATATTACAGAGAAAGCATAGTTTTAAAGTGAGAAATAAAGAAAAGAAGATATGGAGAAGGTAAACTTACGTTATCTAAACGATGCCGATGATAAAGAATATCATGCATAGCCTTAATCAAAAAATAATAATGAGATTTTACTAGAGAAAATGAAGAAAAAAAATAATTCAACGGAAAGAAATCAAATAAAGAAGATTACCTGAATGTTGAAGCTTTCTTCAACTTTAGTGTAGGGCACCATGAGCACATAAAACGCGGCAACAGATCCCAGAAGTAAATCGTAGACTATCAAAACCAGAAGTAAATAAACTCAAGAAATACGAAATAAACGGTTTCTGAAGGAATTTAAAAGCCGAATTTTACCATAGAGCTACAGAAATTTGGAAGCCATTGTTGCGCCTTGTGCCTGCAGAGAGAAATGGAAGAGAGAGATGTCTAAAAGCAATGAAAGAGGGGAATGAAAAGAATGGAGATATCTGGGTTGAATGTAAGGGGAAGATGGATCGAACAATGGAGATCGAAGGATCAAAGGATGAGAGTGGATGCGAAGAGATAAAAGGGAGGGGAGATATATTTCGATGCCCAGACTGAATCTATGAAATTAGGGTTTTGTTTCGATATGTTAAAGTAGTTTTCAGTAGCAACGTTTTTTACGTAAACGCCACTAGGTTATATGACAATTGCGGCGTTTGGTATTAAAACGCCACTAAAGTACGAGTCTATAGCGGCGTTTATTATTAAAATGCCACAAAAGTACGTGTCTATAGCGGCGTTTGTGTAAAAACGCAACTAAAGTACGAATCTATAGCGGCGTTTGGTATTAAAACACCACAAAGTACGTGTCTATAGCGGCGTTTGGTATTAAAACGCCACAAAAGTACGTGTCTATAGCGGCATTTGTGTAAAAATGCCACTAAAGTATGAGTCTATAGCATCGTTTGGTATTAAAACGCCACAAAAGTACGTGTCTATAGCAGCGTTTGTATAAAAACGCCACTAAAATACTAGTTTATAGCGGCGTTTGTATAAAAACGCCACTACATTACGATTCTTTAGCGGCGTTTTTATACAAACGACACTAAAGTATAGTATTTTGCGGCCTTTGTTAAAAAATGCCGCTATATGTAAACAATTACCGGCGTTTGCAGTAAAACGCCGGTACATCCGCCGCTAAAAACTATTTTTGCTGTAGTGTCTTTGCCTATGTCAAACACAAAATCTTCTTATAAATCATATTCTATTTTCAAATTTTCATTTCTCCCAAACTTTAATCGTCAAACAAGGTACATTATCAAAGCTTCCTAGTGAGCAACCTTTCCATGAGATCCCAAAACAAGTTACACAAAACATTCTGAGACAAATCGAAACAGATCATATTTTAGATGAAACAGATGGCTTACCAGTTGTGCGACCACTAGCATACAGGGAAAGAACAGCTTGAATAGCAACATACATAGCAGGAGCATTGAAGGTTTCAAACATAATTTGGGTCATCTTCTCACGGTTAACCTTTGGGTTAAGAGGAGCTTCACTGAGGAGAACCGGATGCTCCTCCGGTGCAACACGAAGTTCATTGTAAAACGTATGATGCCAAATTTTTTCCATGTCATCCCAATTATTGACAATGTCGTGCTCGATTGGGTACTTTATAGTTAAAATGCCACGCTTGGATTGAGCCTCGTCGCCAACATAGGCATCTTTCTGCCCCATTCCAACCATGACTTCAGTATGGCGCGGACGACCGACAATGCTAGGAAATACTTCCCTCGGAGCATCATCCCCAGCAAATCCAGCTTAAGAAACAATCTCAAATATCGTCATTGAAATAACTCTCAAAACAATACTAAACTAAAGTTATTAATGATAAGGAATCCAGCATGGTACCTTAACCATTCCCGTTCCATTGTCGCAGACAAGGGGCTGAATATCCTCACCAGCAGCCATCTTTTACAATCTGAAGCATAAGCAATAACATCAGTACCCAGTAACAAAATGCTAGGCAACTGAAACTCATGTCTGACAATACCATAGATTGGTCTGAAGTCAAATAACTTAAGAATTCAATCATAAATCCTTTTATTATCCGAATATAAATCAATTAAATCAACTGCAGGATATTCAAGTCGTTCAATGAGTACAAAAAGGTTATAAAAACGTAAAGCAGATAATGAATTTGAATATTCAGATCCATAACAAAAGTAAATTCGGCTAACGAATATTTGAGTGTCAATATCCTCCTTCGCTACCAAGTCCACTGCAGTTAGCAACTAGAATTTCTGAATTCAAATATGATCCAATTTCACAATATTTGAATAGTCAAAAAGAAAAGAAAAAGTCAAATATATACAAATATCTGATTCCGCACTGTCTTCCCAAAACTCATCCGACATTTCCAATTACAAACTTAAAATGGTTTGGCTCAAAGAGGAAAGAAACGGCGTAAAAGCAATCACATATTGAATATATGTTGCAAATAAATCCATAGATTCACAGGAAAGAAATTTCAGATATGCCAAAAAAAAAAAAAACACGATTCAACATAAGAAAATAACAACAGATCAAGAACAAGAAATTAGAAGCTCCAAAGCAAAACATTACCAAATGCAGAAAACAAAGTCAAAGACTGGAAAAAGAAAAACCTAAAAACGGATTCATAAATATTTTTAAAGTGGACACACACATTAATTATTTAAATTTTTCGTATGGGGTGGGCATATATAAGATTCATGGGTGGGCACATGTAATAAAATGGACAACTAATATAAACTAATTCGGATTTCGAGGTAAGCACGTGTCCACCCTGAGTATGCTTTGAATCCGTGACTTGAATAAAACTTATATTAAAATTTATAAAAATATAAATTAAGATAAAATACATTGCATGTCAAAAATTATGATTAAATTATTTAATCAATCGATAATAATAATTATATTATCTTTATATATACTATCGACATTGAGAATGATCCCGATAATACTCTCACAAACATTATTCTCAATGTGCATAACATCAAGATTATGTCTCAAAATTTGATCCTTCCAAGAACGTAACTTAAAGAAAATACTTCTCTTTTTCTACAAATACGCCTCATTTGAATCATCCTCTTCATCAGACTCATCATGACTATGTTGTTCAACATCATGTGTTTGATGGTTGATTCATCTTTCCATAAGTGAACTTGATATGTTTCAACATTAAAAAAAAATATCAAACCCAATTGTTTATTTATGAGCTTTTCTAAATTTTTCAGTACCATCAAACATGTTTTTTTTATATCTAAATCTATCGTTTTCACCTAATCACCATGATGTCTCATGTAAGAGAATTCCCCCCACACTATACTATCACTTTGAACATATCTACGCAACACAACAAGCATAAGCATAATGGCCTTTGGTACTCTAACCAGATAGATTTGCATAAGTAGGGAAATCATCAATAATTCATAACAAAGTTGTACGTAAGTTAAAGTTCTTTTTCTTCAACACATCATATATTTCGCCGCCCACCTATAATTGTTTTAACTCTTCAATAAGAGGCTTCATATAAATGTCAATATCATTTCAAAAACCTTTCTCACAAAGGATCATCATTGACAAGATAAATGATGATTGTTTCATGAAAATCCACAGAGGCAAATTGTAGGGAACAAGCAGAATAGGCCAAGTAATGTATGAAGTACTCATGATTTTAAAAGGATTATACCCCTTAAATATAAGATCGAGTCTGACATTTCATGGATCTCTTGCAAAACTTGAATTTTTTTTTGGTCAAATGAATTTCCAAGCTAAACAATCCCGTAAGATGCCTTAATAATTCATTATCGGTCCGTCCATCATGATGCCACCTCATAAACTCGCAGTTTTTAAAGGCATGAAAAATATTTGAACTCTAGGTATTAGAGGAAAATGTCACATAATCTTTACTAACTTCTTTCTTGACCGTGCTTCAACTTTGTCCTTACTCACATTTTCAACCTCCCATTCATACATCAAGATTTTTCGTATATATGACAAGACTCATAATTTTTTTGATAACATCGATACAACATGCAGCCATTTGGACAACTATGAATTTTCTCATAACAAAGGCCCAAATCATTTATCATTTTCTTCATATCTCTGCATGATTGAGGGATTTTTGCAAAAGAATTCTCTCTCTCTCAGAAACTCTAATAATTGTGTAAAAGAGTTACTAGTCCACCAACCCAAGAATTTTAACTGGAAAAACGAATGTAAAATGAGAGATTTGAATATTTTGATCCCTCATAAAGTTGTTCATTCACTTCATTAAGCAACTTGTAAAACTTTGTCGCTTCTCCATTTGGCTCTTCGTCACATCTACTTATTACCAACTTGGTTAATTCAGTCACCGACCGAACCGAATTACCATTAACCAAATTAACCTAACCTATTTTTTTTAAAATATTAACTGAACCAAACAAAGTTCGATTATTTCAGTCGGTTAATCGAATTAACCAAATTATTTTATATTTTTTTATAATTAGATTAATTTAAACATAATACATGTATATTTTTTATTCGAGTTAAAAATTAATTAGGTATTGATAATTTAACGAGTCTAGTGTGATTAAAAAAGTATTTGGGTATTAATTTTAATGGGTTTGAGCTTAAAATAAGTTTATAATATATATAATATTTTATAATTTCGGTTAATTTTAATAATTTCGGTTAATTAATCGACTTCGAACCGAATTAACTTTTAACTGAATATTGAAAAAAGTAATAATCGTTCCCCTATCGAACTAATTCAGTGGCCGATCGAATTAACCGAACTAATTATGTTGGTCAGTTAATTCGGTTAAAATTGAATAGTGAAACCTCTAAACAGATTGATGATAATTGTGCATATTAAATGCATCTCTCAACATATATTTGTCGAACCATGTTTTATAATGTTTTGATATAACAAATTAAAGCAAAATATTTTTGGACTTAAATTGAATTTATTCAAAATTTTCAAAAATAATCCAAAATCCATTAAATTTGAGCACAAAAATGTTTTTCTAGGTACGAAGTACTGATACTGTTCTAGAGTATAGATATTGCATGAACAGTACCGATACTGTTTACGTGGTATTGATACTAAAGGTAAGAGAAGCATCGATACTCTGTAGGTAGTATCAATACTACCAGCTTGCTCAAATTCCAGAATGCAAAATAGATATCAATACCTAAAGGTGTATCGATACTACTTTACATAGTAGTATCGATACCATTAGCTTAGTATCGATATCGTTAGGTCCAACGACTAGTAACAGTT